TACATTCCGAAAATGTGATAACAGAACTCATTAATGAATGAGACCTTATATCTGTCCTTGAAGACCTAAAATTACAATTTCCAATGAGAATGAAGAGAAGAATAATACTGAAAAATCATATGACATAGACATTGATCATAACCGAGGAAAAATCGATATTGAGAGATCAACAAAAATACAGGGTAGATATAGAAACAAATATAGACAACGATGAAAACAATTTTATCGAAGAAAGATAAAAATGAAAAAGTTGACGTGAAAATATTACTTGAACGTTCTACCAAATTAAACGACACCAGTAGAGTCATTTCAATCTCTGGAAAACAAGCGAAAAATGAAACAATATCTAACAAAAATTTCCTGCTGCACACTGGTCAAACAGTGCGAGTGAAAATTCCAGATTTCGACCGATAAAATTGATTCGCACGTTATTGGCTATAGTTGTTGAAATATTGACGAAGAATTTTATCGATTAGGATCTAAAGCTGGCACATTGAATCAATTATTCACGAAATCACTTACATTATGCGAAGAAAAATTTATTTTCCAATATCCGATGTTCCAACACAACAACAAGTATACGCCAAGCTGTTGGTTCAACCACTATCAGGTAAGGGCGATTTTGAGGTGATTGCCAGAAAAATGTACAACTAAAAATGCAAATGCCGCCAGTCAAATGTATTATGTAATAGTAGTGCCATAATAGCACAACATAAAATAAATAAAATTATTTCTAACTACCCGCCGTTTTACTAATTTTATGAAGAATAATAATTTGTTTTTAAATGATTTTTATTTTGTATAAAGAATTTAAATAACTGTCAGTATTCTATTTAATAATATATAATTATGTAATTTTTAAGCAGCTTTAATGTTATAAAATATGTATGATCAGCTTTTACTAAGTCAATTTGTATATCCTAGGATGTACATAACGTGTTTATTAAAAAGTTCGAATAAAACTAAGAATTTCAGCATTTACTGAGTACAAACAGTAAACCTAACATTAACTAGTAAAACCTAGGTTTACCTAGTGATCGGGCATTTACGGTAACATATATATATAAATACAATATTTAAGACTTAGTTTGATTTAAATTTAAATATTTAATGCTAATAATAAATAATTTTTTAATAAACTAGGTATTAACTAACCGCTTACTATATTTATAGGTTGAAATTATGGAACCAGAAATTAAATCGATGACGAAATTGACCGGACAAAAAAGGAAAGATGTGAAAAATAGAAAAACGTTAAAAAAAAAACCAAAAAAAGTGAGTAGTATAACATTTTATAAGATATTCAAAGAATAAATTTATAATTTGATTTTATAGAATATTTCTTATCAAGAAAAAGTTACCCAATTAATACAAAATGAAAAAATTGCAAAAGATGTTATGAATTCGATTACAATCAGACAAAGTGGAGGAGTTGTAACTATTAAATCGGTTGTTGATGAAAAATGTACTGATTATTGGACGTTGGCACATTATAAAACCAAAAACATTGAACATATTGATGCTAAAGACAGGTAATATATATATATATATATATAAATGAATATTTTTTTTCTTTGTATTTACTTTGAAATAAAGTTAGTGTATATTAATGTAAAAATACTCATTTATGTGATTTTAGGTGGAAACATGCAGAATGTTCATTAAAACTAGCGATAACAGACCAGTCGAAAGATCAGAATGTTTTAGGAGAGCTGAATGAAATTGTTCAAACGCTCTTTGATCGTTTTATGAAAGACCCAAATAAAAAAAATTATACAAAACGTTTTTTCAAAATAATTTATATATATATATGTATTTATCATGATGACGGTAAATAAAAATAATAATAAAAAAACTTGAATTATCATTTTTTTTATTTATTTAAATAAAAATAAAATAGTACATTTAGAAATTGAAAAAAAAAAACAAAAAATATATTAAGTTTAATATAATATAATAAATATGAATACAGTATAAAAGTAGTAATAATTATAAAATGAACATTTTTTATAAAAAATTTTTAGCAAACAAAAAATATGAGTATCAAATCTAAAGGTTTTAATTTTTATTACATTACCAAATCTTGTACAATCATATTTGATAATGAATTAAAATGAAATTGCAACAACTCGTACATGAATGAAATATCATCACTTTGAATATTTCTATAACTAAAATCATAATTTTGAATATATTGGTTTGTAAATTCATTTCGTTGACAAGACGATGGTAATCCATTGACGTCGGCCTTTATCAACGCATATGTTGTATCAAATGTTTTTTGGTATGATTCCAACTTCTTTTGTTTTTCAACAATATACAAGTCGATACAACAGGGGCGTCATTTCAACTTTTCAATAGGGATGCAAACATTTGAATCAGGCCAATTGTTCCCTCCACCAGCCATCCTGTTTATTTAGCGGAATTTAAAAATTTCCGATCGCTTCGCTCACTCATATCCCCACATTTTAATATTCAAATACTCATTTATAATTTTTTTTCAAACATATTTAACCAACTTCATATAAATATCATACATATATTAACTATTTACTGTCCTATGTATTTAAGACACATTTACAATATAGTAATTAGTAAGTATATTTAATATTTATAACATGCATAATATAGCGTATCAAATTATGATAAACAACTAATATTTTGATTGATGTGCAATTTATCTTTATTTACTTTGTATAACATTTTTTTTTTGACCTTCGTAAATCGATGCAGTATAGATAAAAGATTGTACAGAAAACTATATTTTTATTATAAGCAGTGAGGTATTAGATCTGAAACATATTATGCACATAAAACTCAGGTATAAGGTATAGGTATATACCTATGTCCTATGTCCTATATTCATAATTAAATGACAACTACTCTTTAATCATTGTTATAAAAAAATATATTTAATAACATTTGTATTAAACAATAACATAAAAAGAAATACAAAAGCTAATTTTAAAATAATAAAAAAGTAAATAGGTATAACAGTAAAAATTATTAATTAAAAAAGTGGATATCTCCTATTTTTCATTTTCCCAAAATCATCCACAGCTTTATTTAAATCTATTTTATTGGCCTCGTCCTTTTCAACGTTTATTATCATGAGATCACTGAGTCGCTCATCGCCCATAGAAGTACATATATAAGATTTTACATTTTTCATAGAAGAAAAAAAGCGCTCATTAGATGCTGTAGATATTGGAAGAGTTTTAATGATATGCATTAATTTTAAAGTTTCTGAAAATGAACTTGGAAGTTCAATGAGAACATCTACAATCATTTCTAAGTCCGGTCTCAAAATATTTTTATGTTCAAGCAAAGCTTTAGCAGATGAAAATTCTGATTTGACTTTTATTTTATTAATTTCAAAATATTTATAATGATCTATGAAGAACTCTAAAGATGGACACTTTGGATTGAAATAATATAAGCTTGTATAGTCAAAAATCTGAAATATCTTAAATAATTCTTGGTTTTTCTCAGAAAAGCGAGTTTCTAATTGCTGTACAAATCTGAAATTGTTAACAAGCGTAAAATTAAAGCCATACATTCAAAGCTTATAGACTATTTATTACAAAATTTATAAATATTTTAAAAAATGTATGAACTACCTAATTATTAAATAAATAAAATAAATGTATATAATTTAAAGTATTATCAACTTGGCAATTTCAATAAATAATAATACCTAATATGACAATGCATAAATACCTGTCAATAATGGAATATAAAACTTCAGTTTTAAGTGTTGGAACTGCCCTCATACCTTTTGAATTAGACTTTCCAAGTGTTGAAGTTACCAAATAATCTTTAAAATTTTTGTTGAATGATATATTTCTTTTTAAACGATTATTTCTTTCCTCATTTTCTGCTACACGTACCTTGTTTTGAAGTGCAATTTGTTTTGATTGTTCATAAATATTTTTATAAGTTTCATCATTTCGAAGATTCTGAAGACTTTCTTTAGTTGAATTAACTAGGTTCATTAACGATGGTAATAATATTGACTTAGACTGGAGCTCACATGATGTACAGTGAATACGTTTTAATATTTTTTTCATAATACATAATATAATTATGAACTTAAAAGTTGAAATTTCTTCTAACAAGCCAATAGCCCTTGCAGTTTGGTCTCCTTCTGTTGTTAATATAGTAAGTACATCTCTTATTTCTGTATACCTTAGTTTAACTTTTTCTAAAGAAGTAAACCAGTATGACCATCTGGTTTCAACCAATCTCTCCAAATGTAAGACTTTAAGATTTTTTTTTTTCTGAATACTTATAAATAATTCATACCTTGTATGACCATTCATCAAATATTTGTACAATCCTTAAACAGTATCAAAAAAATCTGTAATCAATTTGATGTCTTCTATTGAATTAATTAAACAGAGGTTGAGACGGTGAGCGTGGCAATGAATGTAAACAGCATGTGGTACTAATTCAGTTATTCGTTTTTGAACCCCAGAAAACGGACCGCTCATGACAGATGCACCGTCATAGCATTGTGCTACACAGTTATCTAGTTTATTTTCTCCAACCATCTGAATAATAGCATCACTTAATGATTTTGCATCACACTTAGTCATGTGACAACAACCCAGTGTTTTTTCATGAATATTCAAATTGGTATCTGTAAATCTTATTATAAAACTTAACTGTTCTTTCTTGCTAGAATCTTTGGTTTCATCAACTAATACAGCAAATGCACCAAATGTTGAAATATTTTTTAAAATGATTTCTTTGGTACAAGAAGCAATTACATGTATCAACTGATTTTGTATAACAGAAGAAGTATAATGACCATAAGTTGTTTTGGATAATAATCTAATTTTCATACTTTCATCACAGAACATTTCAATTAATTCTTTTAAATTTCCTCTATTTGATGAATTTTGTTCTTCATTTTTACCTCTAAAAGCAAGTCCTTGCTTTCCTAAAAATAATGTTGTTTTTAATAAAAATTTAACGTGTTCACGATTTTCAGTAATTGCTTGAGATCTAGAATGAAACAATGCATTTGCCACTGAATTATTTTTATTTTTTACACTTAAGTACATTGTCCATTTTTCAATGTTTGATAAATGTCTTTCACTTAATTCATGTTTTATAAATGACTGTTTCTGTGTCTTCCAACGATTAAAGCCTTGTTTCACAAATACAATATTATTTTCAATTTGACCACGAACATTATTATTATTAAGAAAATGCCTGCAGGAAAAGCAAAAAACTGCATCTCTTGAAATTGAATATTCCAACCAGTTATGTACTTCATAATACTTTGCATTAAAAGACCTTCTTTCAGAGTTCATAGGAAATGATTTTAAAATTGGTTGAATTGGACTTTGATCTTTTGAATTAGAAATATCATAAATCTAAAAACAATTAAATATTAAGGTTTATAAATAGACTCTATGAAATTGTATTGTAAATTAATTTTAAAGTACAATAATTGGTTTAGGAAATATTTTATATGTTAAAACAATAGAAAATAAATTAGAAATATTTTAGGAGAAAAAATATGTATTCATAAGAAATAAAAATGATTTAATTATACTTGTTAAAACATTAATTTTCTACCTTATTGGTGTTAACATATTTAAAAAAAAGAAAAATATAATAGGTACATTCTAGAAAATAATTAGTATCCGTTATTAAATTAATATAAATATGACTCATTAATTAATTAATAACTGACACAAATATTTGAAAATTAAATATTGGTGATTGTCGGGTATATTATTTATATGATTGATACAAAATTATAAGATAATATAATAAATATTATATACTATAACAAATATAATATAAAAATAAATTTTAATTTCTACATTTGTGTCCATCTGTTGTTCTCCTTCAATATTGTCTTGAATAGATGTATGAGACTTTGGGATCTAAAATACCATTGAAAAAATATTCTAAAATAAACAGTACCTAATTTTTTGTTATAATAAATTCACAATCTTAACTTACAATAGTGTTCAAGTTTTCAGATATATCTAATTTCAACTTATTATCACCATTTACAATGCCTAGTTCATTTCTAACATCATCCTAAAAAATAAAAATAGTGTAAAAATATAATATTAATATTTGACACATTGGTATTTGGTCTTTGTTTAGCATTGTTTATAAATACTATTATTTATAATCAATGGTCTTAGATATTTTGAAGTTCAACATGATGTTATTTTATTTTCAAATCAAAATATTCATAAACTTACTGTAGTTTTAAGCTGAGTTTTTGAAAACATTGTGCCTATATTATGGCATGTAGCTGCTGCGGCCAATAACAGTTTTTTTCTTTTTATCTCTCTCACGAGCAGCACCGCCTGTTCTCTTATTTTTATTTTCCATAATAAATTGCTATATAATATAATATTAATTATTACCGTTCACTACTTGCTCATCGCAAAAAAAAAATAAAATATAAATCGTCAACCCGTCAAGTTACTACAAAAGTACAAACTTGAAACTACCATGTACAACGACGACGGTTAGTAGTTAATTATATACATAGATTAGTATATTATTATATATCATCAACCATAGAGCTTGTCTATGTTGTCATCATTCAGTACCTAATCATTGTCACCAACATAAAAATAACAGATAATAATATTAACTATAAAGTATACACCACATTACACAATGTTAATAAAACCGGTCGTCAACGGTCTATATAGTGTTATAAATGAGACCACGAAACAACGGAGCGTTGCAAGCAACTTGCGATCTTTCACCGGCGGAGGCACATTTTTATTTATAAATAGAATGGTTACGCAACGAGTTTTGATAAGATGTATTCAATACTTCAATGTTCAATAGGTTTTTTATGAAAAACTCGCACCAGACGTACCATTACAGCGCGTTTGCATCTTACATTTTATCGACGACGGCGTTATTATAACATTTTATACGGGCCAACCAAACATTTAAAAAAATAGGGCTGCCAATGTATAGTCTGAATTCCCCAAATGACGCCCCTGATCCAACCTTACTCTGTCCACGTTTTCGGGTGTTCTAATAGCCCGATTTCGTCCGTTAGGTTTTTTCATAAACACCGTACCTGTTGTGTTGAACGCTGTGACCCATCTCAAAATGGTATTACGGTCAGGAATCGTTCCATGACGCGGAATATCAAAGTTAGTTCGAAAATCTCGCTGTGTTAGAATGATAGATTCACCATTTTCGAAGTACCGCCGTACTGCGAACACTCGTTGTTGCACACTCCACACCATGATGACAACTAAAACTGCATGTTATCAGCTTTACAAAGAGCCGTCTCTCACACCGATTAGATTTCCCCACTTGAAGTATTAATAACTTTAAAAACATGCGTTTATTCTGACGGACCCTGTATAATCTGACGTACGTCAACAATGGTACGCACGTTTTTTTTTTTTATATAGTATTATTATTATATAATTATATATATATATATACACATATAATCGTATTTCGTACGCTATCGAGACGATAAGGTTGCGGAGGCGTCCGAGGGCGGAGACACCGAAAACAAAAAAACGCCTAATCGATACGGATAAACGATTTCTCGTATCGTAAAAAAAAAAAAACAGTAGTGACGATACGACGACCGACCGGAGAACGCGCCGCGAGTACGCTTTTTCCGGACGCGACGGCGACGGCCGCGAACGAAATCCGGAGACGCGCGGACCGGAAGAAAAAGACCCGCTCTGGGCTATAGCGTCGAGAACGAGACGGAAAGAGGTCTCGAAAGGCCGGAAAACCGGGAGAAAAGCGGAAAAAACGGTATATAAAAACAATAATAATGAGTAATAAACTAATAAGCAATAACCGAACCGATAACGACGGCGGCGGGAGATAACGATAACGACGTCGGCGGGAGATATGGGATAACGACTGGAAGAAAAAAATTGTAATTTTTCGATTGGTCGGGACACTAAACCTATCGGCCCGTGTAGCAACTATTCTTCGTTTTATATTATAAGACTACCACCGGTAAAACTCGCTGTATGTGAATACCCTAGGCCGGTAAAACTTACTGTATGTGAATACCCTAGGTAGCTGAAAATCGTTTGAAGTGAATTTCCTAGGTCGGAGACAGGACTTCAGAATACCGCAGTTAGAAAAGTCTAGTAGGCGAAACCAGTGATAACGATGATTGAGACGTTGGTACCTCTGATTTGGTGGTTTTACACTTTGGCGGTGTCGTTTTAAACGCGTAAATAATAATCTTATAATATAATAAAAGTAGATAAAAGTTCAGTTCGAGCGTTTAGTGGTCGGTCATTTCATTAAATTTACAGGTGTAATACACCTTGTCCCGTAGCTTGTCCTGTGCTTTTGTGCATGGAAAATAAATAAATACATTCCGAAAAGGTAATTAAGTGTCTAGTTATCAGTCATCGTCCAGTGAATATCGATTCCTGACAGGGCAATCCGCCTGCGGCGGATTGTCATACCTCCTGACGTCAAAGGCGTTCTGCTGTTTAGTACGCAAAAAAGTTTAAGTCGAATCGAGCGCTCGATTTCTCAAGCGATCACCATTGAAAATTCAGTTAAACGCGTTTAAACCACCCAGGTAGGCAATCCGACTGCGTCGGATCGCGAACGATGTGAGCGCAAAGTGGAGATTTTAAACGTATTATTGAAAATACATGTCAAACGTTAAGGTACGGTTTCCCTGCAGCGTCTAGACGCGATAGAACGACGCGTCTTGACGCGGCATCTGAACGATGCGTTTACCCTGTTTTCCCTGTAGCGTCAGACGCTGCAAATTTTATTATTTTATCCCGTTCTTTTAGTACAACTGTGACCGTTGTCTCTTCCACACGTAGTTTCCAGATCTGATTTTTTGATTTTTCAAAATGAATCAACATTTTATTTTGAACAGTATCATTAATAATAATAATACTATTTGCGAATTGTTGCTTTGTAATGAAGAAATTGAAAACGAATTACTTATGAACTTAATTCCAAAAAAAAGAAAACCTTTCAAAAGTTTATTTTCCACGAGGAAATCTGAAGGGTTTTTTAAAAGTTTGATTAGTGGACATCTTATTAACGACGATGAAAAATTTCGGGAATTTCTTCGTCTAAATCGTGATCAATTCAATTTTATCTTATCTTTGGTCCAAGAAGAAATAACGAAGAAACCGACATTACGTGTACCTGAGCCAATATCTCCAGAGAAAAAACTAGCACTTACTTTGAGGTAAGATTTGATATTTTTTTTAAATATAAAATATAAAATAATTTATTGATTAGTAAATCTATCATTTATATTTTATAAATCTTAAAATTGGTGAAAAATAAATTTAAATAATAATAATGATAAAAAAAATTACATTGTTTACAATCTTATAGAAACTAAGTGATGGTGTATAATTGTACGTTTATAATTTTTCATGTAATTGCCTGTAATATCAATATAAATATAAAAATTAAATTAAAAACCATTTCAGTGCATTTTATATCATAATTTTTGGTAAGTATTTTATATTGCATTTTATGCATTTTTAGTGCATGTTTTATTGTATTTATTTTTGATTTTTTTAATGCATTTTTAAAGTTTTTTAGTGCATTAAATTCACAGCCTTAGTTATTTGATAAGTATTATTCCTATTAAAGTAATTTATTTTTCTATTAGTAATACAGTAAGTTGAATTATTTTTTCTAAAAATATCGCATTTGAAAATATCATTCTAAATAATATAAAATTGAATATTATACTTAAGAAGCTTCAAAGACCTACGAATAATATTATTAAGTACCTTACAAAAATAACTTAAATTGTAAATTACTGCTTCAAAAGGTAATGAGTAATGACAGATACAATATATCATTACATTCATTGCTCCGCCCAGAACCTGAAATATTTAAATATTGATTATTTTTATAAAAAAATTTTAATTTATTTAATTAGATGTAAATTTTCTTGGTTACTTTTATAAGTATACTACCAGATATTTATCAAAATATATATTTTTTTTTAAGGTACCTAGCAACAGGAGAATCCTTCCGATCTTTGGCATTTGCTTTTCGTATTTCCCACAGCTATATTAGCATTATAGTGAGAGAAACTTTAGCAGTTATGAAACAAAAATTAATGCCACTATTTTTGCCTGATCCCAGTAAAGTTGACTTAAAGACTAAAGCAGATGAATTTTATCAGAAGTGGAACTTTCCTAATTGTGTACTGGCAATTGACGGAAAACATGTTAGAATCCAATGTCCAAGTAATTCAGGTTCTTTGTTCTTTAATTATAAAGAATATTTTTCTATCGTGTTGTTGGCTATGGTGGACGCAAACTATAAATTTATAGCTATTGATGTCGGATCGTTTGGTAGAGAAGGAGATAGTGGAATTTTTTTGAAATCAAGTATGGGACAACAAATATTGAATTGTACATTTGGATTCCCTGAGGATTGTGCACTTCCTGGCACTGACATAAAAGTTCCACACGTCATACTTGGTGATCAAGCTTTCAGACTGCACAAACATATTTTAAGACCATTTTCACAAAAGTCAGCCAAAGGAGATAGTAAAAAAACAATATTTAATTATCGACTCAGTCGTGCTCGACGAGTTACAGAGAATGCTTTCGGATTATTAAGTAAAGTATTCAGAGTATTTTTTCAACCCATTAATATAAATACAACAACGTGTGATGACTTGATAATCGTAGCATGTTGTTTACATAATATGTTACGAGACGCATAATTGGAAAAAAAATGGAAAGATATTTTATCAACCCGATTCAGAAGAACCTCCTAGTGCTAACATGACGTCTTTGGCCAGTGAAAGTGGATTTTTAAGCACAGAAGGCATCGCAGTGAGAGACATTTTTAAAGACTATTTTGTCAACGAAGAAGCTGTATCGTGGCAAACATAAAATTTAGTAGTGCTATAGTTCCATAATTTTATAGTAATATAATTTATATCATATTATTATCATTATTATTATACGTAATTTATATAATAAACTTATAATAAATATTTTTGTATTTACCCACGAAAAATGTGTTTTATAATTATAGACGATTCTAATTATTATAAATAATCTAAATGTACTATTTTGTTTGATGTTAGTTCTCATTTTTATATTTAAACGTATTTATATTTGATTATTTCAAATAATATTATTAAGATCACGAATATACTATCATTAAAGAGACAAAATATTAAGCTATAAATAGGTAGTAATAATAATATAACTTCTTGAAAATAACAACAACATATATTTTTATTTAAACCAGTCTTATGGTTAATTTATTATTTTTAAATAAAATCAACAAACAATTAAATTAAAACGAGTGAATTTTCAAAATATAACAAAAACTTAACATTATAAATAACTAGGAATCTTGGTATGCACAAACTTATAATAATCACCAACTATTAAAGTTAAAAAAAAAATTACAAAAATTAAATACTTAAAGATTAGACGTGTCATCATAATTGAACGGCAAAACCCCTTGTGATGATGTTGAGGTACTATATGAATTAGCTGGTGAACTCAGTTGACATTGGTACATATTATTGTTGTAATTCTAATTTGATGGTACTTGATAAGGTAGTGTTTGAGCCGTTTGAGGAGTTGAATATTTGTCATCTATCTCAGAGATTAAAGTTAGTGTCCTAAGTTTAGCTTCTTTGATCGCTTGCGGTGACATTTTCTTAACCGTCATAGCAATACTTTTGAAAAACATATCAACATCATCCTCTTCACATAGTGTTTTCATACTTGTCGCCAATAATTTATTTTGTTCTTGGATACTTAATATTGTATCCTTCGTATCCTTTGAACGTTTGGCCAAAATAACAGAAATCTTTTCTTCTTTTGACCGAATACATTTTCCTGCATATGAAGTTGATGGCAAATCGGACATGGTATTCTCTGTTTGTTCTTGTTCTTCGTTGTCTTGTAAATTTTCTTCGACGTCTTCAGGTCTAATATCGTCAGTAGTAGATACATTTGAAATATCGGTATCAGTTATGTCCATATTTGTTATAGTACTAAAGTAAAAATAATTCAAATATATTTATAATTGTATGATAATAAATGTATATATTATTTTTTGTTATTGATTAGTTTTTTTTGGTTATAAATAAGCTATATTATGAATCAACTTTAGAATGTAATATAAATATCAGCATACCTTCTTTCGTACTCGACGGTGTCCAAAAATGATAAATTCATTGTACTTCTGTTTTTTTTATATGGAGCTGCTGATCCTGTCGGAAGTTTTTTCTTTTGCTTCATATACGTGTCTCGAATATTTTTCCAGCGTTTTTTACAGTCAACGCCTATACAATAGGTGGAGTGAGGACAAAGAATAAATAATTAATATTAAAATAAAGTTTGCATGTAAATTACTATTATAAATTATAAATACTTGAGAATTATATTTTCAATACATACATGATCTTCCTACTTCTTCAGATATATTTTTCCAAATATTATCTTTAAAAAAATTATCTTTGTGCTTTTTATGGGCACTATCGAAAATAACTTTATTATTTTCCACTAGTGAAATCAAAATTTCGTCCTCTGTTGGGGAAAATGAAAATTTTTTGATCGACATGATGACTGATGACTCCAGGCGTCTTGACGCAACACTGGTCCGGACCGATACTGACGCCGGACGCCGCGTCAAACGCGAGTAGCGAAACCAGTCACACACAAAATACATAATCTAGGGTCTCGGCGTCAGACGCCGCGTCTAGACGCTGCAGAGAAACCGTACCTTTAGCGAGTCGTGGTAAATAGTGAGTCAAAGATAAAAAACTCTATATATTTAATCATTTTTTTGATAACAGAAATTACAATTAATTAACACAAAATTTGTGTTAATTAATTAACCATGGTTTAAACCATGTACATTATTTAATCGTATACGTCTTAATGACGTACCGAGTTTATTATCACAGACACTTATCTCGATATCGCCCCAAACGTACGCGATCAAAGGTATAACAACGACTGAAGAGCAACGATTTTGCGATGTTTTTATATGATACACATAAAGATCCGGTCACGTCTGACGTACGTCATCGACAGTACGCACGTTTCTTTTTTATACACATAATCGTATTTTATACGATATCGAGATGATGAGGTCGCGGAAGCGTCCGAGGACGGAGACACCGAAAACAAAACGACGCGTATTCGATATAAAGATAAACGATTTATCGTATCGTAAAAAAAAAAAAAATAGTAGTACAACGGAACAATACGATAACCGACCGGAGAACGCGCCGCGAGTACGCGTTTTCCGGACGCGACGACGACGGCCGTGAACGGAATTCGGGGACGCGGGGCTCGCGAGAGATGCGTTCCGCGCGATCGGAAAACGCGCGGACGCGAAATAGGAGAAACCGATTCGGGGCGAAGAGAAAAACAGGCGACGTCCGTCGGCGGGCGACCGCGGCCGAGGACCAAATCCGAACGAAAAACGCGCGCAGACGGGACGAAAAAGACCCGCTCGGGGCTACGGCGGAGAGAACGCGACGGAAAGAGGAATCCGAAGGCCGGAAAAGCGGAAAAAGGATATAACAAAAACAAATAATAACGACGGCAGCGGCGGGAGATAACGATAACGACGCGCGGGAGATATCAGATAAGAAAGACGATAAGAAAAAATTGAATTTTTCGATTGGCCAGTACACTAAACCAGAGCACTCTGACGAAAAAACCCAGGAAGCTCGTTTTGGTTTTATATTATAAGACTAGCACCGGTGAAACTCGCTGTAAGTGAATACCCTAGGTCGGTAAAACTCGCTGTATGTGAATACCCTAGGTAGCTGAATATCGTTTGAAGTGAATTTCCTAGGTCGGTGACAGGACTTAAGAATACAGCAGTTAGAAAAGTCTAGTAGGCAAAACCAGTGATAACGACGTTTGACATGTTGGTACCTCTGATTTGGTGGCTCTACACTTTGGCGGTGTCGTTTTAAACGCGTAAATAATAAAAGTCTAATTCGAGCGTCTAGTGGTCGGTCATTTCATTAAATTCACAAGTGTAATACACCTTGTCCCGTAGCTTGCCCTGTGCTTTTGTGCATGGAAAATAAATAAATACATTCCAAAATGGTAATTAAATGTCTAGCTATCAGTCATTACCCGATGCTTGTCGTTACTCGACTGGGCAATCCGCGTAGCTTGCCCTGTGCTTTTGTGCATGGAAAATAAATAAATACATTCCGAAAAATTAATTAAGTGTCTAGTTATCAGTCATCGTCCAGTGAATATCGATTCCTGACAGGGCAATCCGCCTGTGGCGGATTGTCATACCTCCTGACGTCGAAGGCGTTGTGCTGTTTAGTACGCAAAAAAGTTTAAGTCGAATCGAGCGCTCGATTTCTCGAGCGATCACCAATGAAAATCCAGTTAAACGCGTTTAAACCTCCCAGGTAGGCAATCCGACTGCGTCGGATCGCGGACGATGTGGGCGTAAAGGAGAGATTTTAAACATATTATGGAAAACGCATGTCAAACGTTAGGGAGTTGAAGATCAAAAAACTATATATATTTAATCATTTTTTTGATAACAGAAATTACAATTAATTAACACAAAATTTAAAAATTAAAAAAAAAAAATGCAAAAAATCCGAATATTTGGTCAGTTATCGTACAGTCCGGATTTCGCCGGAACGTGTTTCGAACCTGCCTACCTAACGTCGGAGAACTTCGTCCCGTAGCTCGTTACGAAAACGGCAATCGAGTGTCTGGGTATCAGTCATCGTCCAGTGAATATCGATTCCTGACAGGGCGTTGTGCTGTTTAGTACGCAAAAAAGTTTAAGTCGAATCGAGCGCATGATTTGTCAAGCGATCACCACTGAAAATCCAGTTAAACGCGTTTGAACCTCCCAGGTAGGCGATCCGACTGCGTCGAATCGCGGACGATGTGAGCGCAAAGTAGAAATTTTAAACGTATTAATGAAAATACATGTCAAACGTTAGCGAGTCGTGGTAAATAGTGAGTCGAAGATCAAAAAACTATAAATATTTAATAATTTTTTTGATAACAGAAATTACAATTAATTAACACAAAATTTAAAAATTTAAAAAAAAATCAGAATACTTAGTCAGTTATCGTACAGAACGGATTTCGCGGGAACGTGTTTCGAACCTGCCTACCTAACGTCGGAGAACCTCGTCCCGTAGCTCGTTACGAAAACGGCAATCGAGTGTCTAGGTATCAGTCATCGCCCGTACGGTGAAAGTCGATACCTGCTGAAAGGGCAATCCGATTTCGGCGGATTAGTAGGCAAAACCAGTGATAACGACGAATGAGATGTTGGTACCTCTGATTTGGTGGCTCTACACTTTGGCGGTGTCGTTTTAAACGCGTAAATAATAAGTCTAATTCGAGCATCTAGTGGTCGGTCATTTCATTAAATTCACAGGAGTAATACACCTTGTCCCGTAGCTTGCCCTGTGCTTTTGTGCATGGAAAATAAATAAATACATTCCGAAATGTTAATTAAATGTCTAGCTATCAGTCATTACCCGGTGCTTGTCGTTACTCGACTGGGCAATCCGCGTGGCTCGCCCGATGCTTTTGAGTATGGAAAATAAATAAATACACTCCGAAAGGGTTATTAAGTGTCTAGTTATCAGTCATCGCCCATCGAATATCGATACCTGACAGGGCAATCTGGCTGCGGCGGATTGTCATACCTCCTGACGTCGAAACCGTTGTGCTGTTTAGTACGCAAAAAAGTTTAAGTCGAATCGAGCGCTCGATTTTTCAAGCGATCACCACTTAAAATCCAATTAAACGCGTTTGAACCTCCCAGGTAGGCGATCCGACTGCGTCGGATCGCGGACGACGTGGGCGTAAAGGAGAGATGTTAAACGCATTATGGAAAACGCATGTCGAACGTTAGCTAGTTGAAAATCAAAAAAACTATACATAATTAATATTTTTTTCATATTTTATAGATGGTTAGATATCGAAAAGAAATAATATGCGCTTTCTGTGATGACAAAATATTTAAAAATCAAAAGAAAAAAAATTTGCTACTGTTTTTCCCCTGTATCTTTCAAATGTAAGCGACTGAAAGGCTAAACATATAAAATAGTGAATTCACCGTCAAAAAACCGAGTGAAACAACTGTATCGTCATCAATAGAATGTTCTCGGGCTATAATATAAATTGCATATCACATAATATGTACATTTGAATCGTGCATACTGTTAGCAATAACTATAATTGGTTTAATTGAATACTATTGTGTAATTTAACGTTCGTGTAAAGTATATTATAATATAATATATTTTGTCATCATCAATCAAGCAGTATAAAATGTAATGTGTGAGATCAAAAATTGTTTTTAAAATTTGAAAAATATTATATGAGTAGTAATGTCATATCAAAACGAAAATAGCAATTAATAATGATCGAATTAAATGAAAAAAAAAATGCAAAAAATCCCGTACGTGTAGTTTCTTATGGGGCCGCCCGGAATGCGCCGGACCGGGATTCGAACCTGCCTACCTAACGTCGGGGGACCTATCCTAACACCTATCGACTACCGCTCGAGTTGAAAACCGTAACCGAATCTCGAGCACTTAAACCGTTTTAGAGATGCGACGAATACTACATTATACGTCGTTTGACCCGTACAATTTTTACGATTCGCGTGTCACGAAACCGTAAATCGCATATTTATTGTCGTTTAGAACGTTTCCGACGTATTCGTTTACATTTTTTAATCGTATACGTCTCAACGACGTACCGAGTTTATCATCACATACACATATCACGATATCCCCCCCAAAAGGTATGCGATTAAAGGCATTACAACGACTGAAGAGCAACGATTTCGCGATTTTTTTGTATATAATAAACATAATCTGACGTACGTCAACAACGGTACGCACGTTTCTTTTTTATATGATATTATTATTATATATATATATACACATATATAATCGTATTTCGTACGCTATCGAGACGATAAGGTCGAGGAGGCGTCCGAGGGTGGAGACACCGAAAACAAAAAAA